AAAAAAGAAAGAATGAAGACAAATTCTATTTTTTTTTTGGTAAAGAAAATGTTCTCATTGCATATTTTTTGTTTGATTAAATTTATAATAAATAAAAGATTAAAGTTACAAAAATTTTAAATAATAAAAACTAAAAAGAAATTTTTTTTTTCTCTAATTTTCTCAAAATTTCTCAATTGGTAACTTTTTCTTTCAAACTAACTGATATTTCTTAATGGTATAACTCTGATAAATTTAAGTAACAAAAAATTTCAAAAGAAAACAAAAAGAAAAATGATAGAGAAAAGAATTTCCTAAAACTTTTTAGTCGATACTTTTTTTTTGTTTTCCTAAAAATTGACCGATATTTTTTGGTGGTATGAATCGTTGACGTGTCACAATCGGATCTTCACCAACAATATTTTCAATCATAATTACACCATATTGTGAAGAATATAGCGAAATAGCTGTAAATAGTTAATTGCTTCAATTATTTCTCTTTCTTTCCTTTTATTTTTATAAAATTTGAAAAAAAAAACATTTCTTAACAATTTGTTGTCAATTAAAATTTAAAAATTTTGATGAGAAATAATTTTAAGGCTAAAAAAAAAAAGTTATCGCAATGGGTTCATTAAGTGCTTTTCTTTATTATTTCAAAAATTTAATATTAATATCAAATCTTTTGGATAATTATATTATAATGTAACAATAAATCATTTTCTAATGTATAAAAATTGCATTTAAACCAAAAACTAATTAAAATAATTAATTAAAAGCAAAATCAATATTTGTAAGAAAATTATAAAACAGGGAAATAACTTTTTGTATATTTCAACATTTATAAATTAGCCCATAATGATCACCACTAATTAATTATGTTTAATAAAAATTTTGGAATATTGTCAAACGTTAACAGTTAAAATTATCAAAAGTAAAAACATGACGATCTAGTTAAAAATATGATTTCATCAAAGAAAAATTTTGATAAAATTGTGGTAAAATTTGAGATTAGGAATATAGCAATCTACAGTAATACAAAATACAGTAGTATAACAGTCTTTATTATTATTTATGCCATTTAATTAACTAGTTAAAATTAAAAAAATAAGTAGTACCATTCATGGTAATATGTGAATTCGATTCTTGTTCATGAATTTTACGGCGATTCAATTGTTGATTATCAATTGCTTGCTTCATTAACATATCATTGCTTTTATCAATTTCCTCAATTTAATTCATTTCATTTCAAATGTAACTTAATTTGTGTGAAATTATTGGAATCATACTTGCCAAAAGTTTGTTACAGCTCCATTTCTTTCATTAAATTAATTATCCAATTAATTGATTAATTAAACATGTTACCAAAATATGTAAGATGGAATTGGAAATACTTCAGTATTAGTATTAATTAACTGGGCATATATAATTAATTATGAATGCATTTACCTTCCTTTGTAATTTATGATTTATCACACCACCAGATAACACAATTAAACTATAAATGCCGGTAAAAATTAGGAGAAAATACCGGAAACGATATAATGATTGTTTAAGACATCTGATGACACTTGTCATATCCCAATAACTTTTTCTCACTTCTGTATCATTGTTTAAATCATCTGAAATGTTAATTAATTATAAAAGCTAATTGGAACAAAATAAAAGAACGAAAAACATCATCAGATAATAATTTAGAGAATTTCCCAAGCACATTACAATTATTTAACTAATATTATTTGCAATAATCCATGTGAAAACTTTCAATTGTCAAATAATGCTGTTGAAATTTCATTAATTTTTTTCAACGAAAAGATAAATCACAAGATTTTAATTTAATTTTATCACAAAAAGTTCACATTTTTATCAATCAAAATGGCATACAATGACAATAATCAATAAGGATAAATGAAATTGTTTAAGTAAATTAGCAAAACTAAGAAAAAAAAAAAGAAGAAACTGAATATTTGCAAAGATTCTTTTACTATGATTGAAACATCATTTGTCAAACATTAATTTTAATTCAGAATTCAGTAAATTAATTAACTAAAATTGATTTGAGATCTGCCTTATTGTTAAACTAAAAACACATTAAATATACGATAATAATAAATTTAAAGATAATACAGCATTTCTCCTAAAATATTTCGGTTTTAAATATCTTTTGCGCAAAAAACGGAATAATAACATCTAAAAATAAAATATATTTAAATTTTCCAACATGAAATTTAAAAATTTTCTAGTTTACAATAAAGGTAGTTTACATTAGAATTATTCTAAAGCAAACAAATATTATAACTTTGTTCACAAATTGCAATAATTTGGAAAAAAACATAGTCAACGCAATTTTTTTAAGCCAGAATTTTAAAATTTAAAAAAAAGACAAAAGTGCAAATGTATTTTACTTTTTTTTTAAAAAAAAAAGAAAGAAAGGAAAATTCTATTATTATTTAAATATAGCATTCAAATATTTCCATTAATTTGCATTTTATATTATTTTCATTCCGTTTAGAAAATTATCTTTTTCTGCATATTTATTAAGTAAAGTGAAATGAAACGGAAAGGAAAAGCAAATTTAATAATTAAAAACTCAATGATACAAATACCTTATTGTTTGAATTTATTTTTTAGTCAAAAAATTTTCAATTTTTTCCAAATATTTCTAAACAAATTAACTGCTACATTTTTAGAATGAGCGAGTAATTAACATTAATTATTGAATGCTTAAATTTGAATATGCTAATAATATCGTTGTAAAAATGCAAAAAGGATTTTTAAAAAATTTATAATAGTATTAGGAATTATAAAAAATTATTGAATAATTAATTATTTTAAAGGTGAAAAAAGAGCGATTATTACGGTTGGTTGTATATTTAAGTGATGAATTGAAATGAATTTCAAAAGTTTCATTTTATATTTATTTGCAGGAAGAGAGCATAAAGTTACTGAGAAGTCAGTTCATTAATTAACTTTTTATTTGACTTCAATAATTACCACCAAACATTAAAGCTCATTTTCTATTGTCTTAATATTATTTTCAGTGGAAATTAGAATTTCAAAAAGGAGAGACTTTAAAAAAAAAAACTCAATTTAAAAGCATAAAATATTTAAACTAAACAATAAAACCAAATTTACAGGGTAGAACAAAAAGTAATTTGATATTTATGAAATTTAAATTTCAATTTCACGAATTATTTTCCATCGCTACTTGAGATGATATCAATATATACTTAGTAATGATATATATTGATATATATATATTGATATCATCTCGACGTATTACATATACATATATATAAGACGTTGAGATGATATCAATGTATATTTAACAATGATATCAATATATATATATATATATAATACGTCATAATAATTTAACAATGATATCAATAATTAACTTTTAAAATTTTATCTTACGAAATGATATCACTATGTTTAAAATTTGTTGATAAGAATGAAATGAGATCAAAAAATAAATTGTACCAATGGATAATTTTTTTTCTTGTACTGACAAATAGACAAGAGAATGAAATAATCTTTGAAATAGATCATCTATCCAACATTATTTCGTACTCCATTTCCCCGCTTTTCCCGTCTCCCCGCGTCTCCCCGCACTTCATCATCTTTTCATTTTTGATAATTATGAAATAATCACCAAATGAATAACAATTATTCATTTTTGTTCAATTCGTTTCACAACATCTTTCCTGTATACAAGTATGTCATTCATTTAAGAAAAAAAAAAAAAAGGAAGAAAAGAGAAAGGAAGGAAGGGAAATGACGAAAACTGTTTTAACAGCTGATAAAATGCAAAAATTTGATAACAATAATGATTGAATTAATCATTCAATGAAATGTTTGTTTGTATGACTCAACCAAATGTTGTCAAATTTTCAAATGATTCAATCAAAGATGTCATCTGTTTGTTGAATAATTACTAACAACAATTGTGCAACATTAAAAGGTTTTTAAAAATAATGACTAATTATCCATTCAAATTTATCATATCACTGAGTTTTGTCAAATTGTCCCATCCAAATTTATCATACCACTGAATTTCGTCAAATTATCCCATCCAAATTTATCATATCAATGAGTTAAAATTTTCGAATAATTTGTCAAAATTCAAAGTTAAAGATATGCATTTAAAAAAAAGTGTTGAAAAGACTTTGACTAATGCTTAATTACTTTATGAACTTAAAATGATTTTATCAAATTATTTCATCCAAATTTGTCATATCATCAAATTTATCAAATTATCCAATTCAAAATTTGTCGTGTAATTAAGTCATATCAAATTATTCCATTCCAATTTGTC